TCTTTGCGGTAGCGAATTCGCTGCACTGTACTACAGGCGGCATCATGCATTTTACTCAAATCGCGATCGGACATACCTGGGTTGCTTCTGATGGACCTTGCGACCTTTCCATGGAGCTGACGGTTGGCAGTTCCACTTCGGCGTTTACTTTGAGGGTTCCGATTTGTCGTCAAGGTTTCCCTGTACGTATTGAGCACGCGTCATACGGTGTTTCTACCCGACCAAAGTCTGAGATCATATTGAAATCTAAATTTGATGTTGTGATTTCGCTGATAATGATTGCTCAGGTTGCTGTCGGTTAAAATATCAAAATTGAGAGCAAAAATTTTTCCTGTGACATCACATTGAAAACTATTTCTGCTATCAGTGAGAGCAAACTGAAAACTGAATTTGATATCCATTTTTCCTGTTGATAACAAAACAAGTATTCAATTTGAAGTTATGCTAAGGCCATGAAAACAAAACCGCAACATCATATTTCTGAAAAACAAATGTACAGCAAGATGTACGTAGTAGTGTAATGCTTCACAGATTGCTTGCGGTTGCTCCACCTGATCGATAGTTTTGAAGAGTGCTGCTTTAAGAATTTTCTTTCCTTGAGTGTTCAAAAATGCAATATCATCACTTTCTAAAACCTATTGCATTCAATTATATGATCGATAGCCAACGTTTGCAGCGTGTGGACAACGTTTGTGATCTAGGAATTACACTTGATTGTGCTTCGACATTTAAGCTACGATCGATCTTGGAATTAGGTAGTAGTATGATGTCCGTATAAAATAGTTTGGATAGCGAGAATCGAGTCTGTTCAGAGGAAATTCGTTCGTTACGCTCTTTGCCACCTTCCTTGGAATGATTCAACGAACCTTCCACCCTACGAAGATCGTTGTCAACTCCTGGGTATTGAAACTCTTGAACGTAGGCGGAAGATTAACCATGCATATTTTGCAGCAAAAATGCTGATAAACTGAATCGACTATCCCAGGATTTTGACTAAATTCAAAATCTATGTACCTGAACGAGCTATACGATCGGGGAGTTTCAACTGCACACCGGAAACCTTTCGTGACCGGATTCAGCGTAGTCTGTTGGATAGATGACGATACGGTTCGACACATGCAACTGCTTTCAATCAGCAAATTGTTGCAAGACGGTGAGTAGCTGTCCATTTAATGTACATCTGCTCATTTTTGCTTCCTGTTTCTTTTTTTGTTCCCAATCATCTCTGCGATGACGCTCTCGACTTGGCTGATCCAAGGACAACTCCATGCCATAGGACGAGATAAATTTTTATGCTGAAGATTATATTATCATTATTATTTGGTGTTTATTTTTATATTTGTTCTGTTTTTGCGTCCTTTTTATATTGTTCCTTGTATGTCGAAAATATATGGGGTTTTTACGCCTATTTGCGCAAATATTTGTAAAATAGGCTTTTCCCCATCAATCTTCATTTAGACAACAAAAGTCAGATGAAGAGAATAATAAATATATAAATAAATAAATACTGGTGACAACGCTCTGATGAGAAAATGAAACCCCACCCCCAAGCTCCTCCCCTGATCATATCCTATAACTATGTACCCTTTTAACCTCGGGTAAGCCGCAAGTATTCGGCCCAACTCCTGGACATAGAATGAAGTGAATTTTGTTACAAACAATGAACAATTAATTATCGGCACCGTAAATCTAACGTGATTGAGTGAGAATAAACGAACTAGATTAAAAAAAAATATGACAGTATATTTCTTTAGTGATAATCTGTAATCCAGTATTTAATAAAAATAATTACATTGAAAATACCACATTCTGATTTATTTGTCAATCACATTGTGGTCATATCGTTGGGAATTAAGGCTGAGTGAATTGGTGCGCATAAAAACACCTGTAATTCGTGATTCAATGCGTTTAAAAAGTCCATTTATGGTTGCTTTACAATACTTTCATTAAAACTTCAAAGTTACAGCATTAGATGGTTACATTTTTCCAGTTCGAACGAAATCTCGAACCCTCCTCTCGTTGGAGCCCATCAGCGTCTGCATAGTGGAAACGGACACGGAATCAGCGCATTTCTTCCATTTTTCCCGCATTTGCTTGATGTCCTTGACTTCCCCATCGCTTCGTCGAAGCCGCCGCTTTGAAATTGCCGCGTATTTTTTGATTGGTTTAAATTCCGGGCAATTCGGAGTAGTGGCAGCTGGCCAAATCGGGCCAAAAGATGACTTTGCTTCTATGCTCGCGGATGAACGGCAATACACGCTTTTTCAGGCATTCTTCGATGTAAACTTGGGATGTTATCGTCGAGGATGTGACGAATGTTTTCGTTTTCAGGCCACAACTACAAATCGCTTGCCAAATCATGGCCTGCTTCGTGAACTTGTCAGCAAACACGAACTTGATTCTTCCCGGCCCATCCCCACGTCCAGTCGCGATGTAAAATTTTTGACCGGGAAGCTGCTTAAAATCGAGTTTGACGTATGTTTCGTCATCGATCAAAGTGCAGCCCTTGTGTTTCGTCAAAACACGGTCGTACAAAAGAACGGGGTTGGCTTTAACGCACCTCAACACCTTGCTGCGCAGCTGACGATACCTGGTTCCAGTTTTTTCGTAGGTCCGCTGATTCCTTTCCACACTCAGGGTTTCCTTGTAGGTTTTGAGCACTCGACAAACTGTTGATTTTGGCATCTTCAGCACTTTAGCCAGCTTGGAACCGAACCACTCCGGATTTTCCAGGTGTTTGTGCACAATATTTTTTCTTCTTTCGGATTCCATTTGACGTTATTTCTGAACGCTATCGACTGCTTTGATCAAACTTGCACCAGTTGTTCTTTATAGAAATGCAAACAAACCACTGTCAAAGATTTTCGATTCCCAACACTAGAAGCGTGCTAGTGGTGTGCGAGGGGCGTACCAATTTACTTTTAGTCAACCTTTATCCGTTTCGGAGCCATGCCCGGTGGCCCAAAAAGGTTGAAAATGGTTTTTGGCCTCCATACTGATCAAAAGAAACTATATAGGTATATGTGATAATTTCGGAATTTTGTCCGGGTTTTGTATGGAGTCGCCCCACAGTGGCATGCTGTGAACAACGTTTAGGGGTGCTAGTGCGTTTGAGAAAATATCATCATGTTATCAGTTTTTTTTTTGTCTTCGCGATTCTCTCTCATAGGGCTCTAGATCTGGTGATATCTAACCCTTCTCACTTAAACATAGTTCGAGCAACAGGTGGTGGCCAATATGTTCTTGGTTTCTTAATATGACAAGTAATTAGCTTGTTTTATAGTTCTAATGTTGGTTTATATGTCACATAATGGGTTTTGGCTCAAGAGTGGATCTAACCAATGTAGCCTGGGAAACTCGAAATCACTAATTCTCAACGGAAGTTCTTAAGAATACTGTTTTTGTCACCCCCTCACTATGTCCGTGTATCGGAGAACGCAGCTTTTCAAAAATCTAATTCATACCACAGGACCACAGATAGAGATCATACTTGTTTACACCATGATGGTGTTTTCCGAAACTTGACATGGGTGGCATATTAGCTATATCTTCGTTTATTGGCAAAGCTTAAGCTAGATTGAAGTCACTCAATACAATTGAGGTCACGCTCTCCATTACGGTAAAAACAGAACGACAATGGGTGTCGTTGATTTCATAGTCACGAACCCGGTCAGGAGTGATGTAAAAGTGTGTGATCACTTAGTTTGGCAGCTAATATAAATTATAGCTTTAACTTAGTCCATTTTACGAAATGGCAGGAGCCAGTTGACTATACAGAACGATGACTTTGATGGTGGTGTTTCTAATGTTTGATAATTGCCTGTTAAATTTATTGGTGATATCGATTTAATATAAGTGATTATGATAAATTGACGACAGTTTTCAGAATACTAGTTTCTCGTCTGTTAGTTAATTCCAGCATTTATTACATCGCGTAGATCATCTTTTTTAACAGTTTTATTATTTTCTCATCGTCAAAAAGTTCCACATTTCGTCACTGAAACCGTGCACCAGTTACTTTTCACCTAGTTCTACACCGCAGATTCAGTTTTCGTGTCATGCCAGCTTGCCTTCGATTCGCGTAAATTACGTTTTGTTGTTCGATCTCATCTTACATGTTGATCTTTCGAGGAGGCGGCGGTCGGAAACACACACACATACACAACATTGCCTGCGGTTTTACGGAGTTCACTGGTGCGCAGCGCTAAAATTTTGACTTCCGCTTAGTTGACTCACAAGATGAGTCATAAGAATTTTCGATTTCAAAAAACTGTCGGTGAGAATTTTGTGAAATTTCTCATTTTTCATAACTCACGCATACCGAGGGTACCACATGCATGCCATTTTCACTATTTCTCTCGCTCTCCCGATCGAACAAGTAATCACAACAATATAAATTCACCTCACGTTGCACAGATGTTTGATTTAAAAATACCGTCGAATTTCTTCCACTGCTGCCTGAGAACCAAGCGTAAATAGACTTTTATTATTAGACTGGTAGACGCACACCAGAAGAAACTAAGCTCTTCGCATTTTGCACCCAACAGCTGAAAACAGTCACATTTTTTTGGTAATTGATTTTCTCGAAAATGACATTTCGAAAACATCACTTTTTTCTCACCACACCCGGCTTTTAGTATGTTTCCGTTTTCGTAAGCGATGGTGGTAGTAGTGGTAGTGAACTTGGTGTAATTGAGATAAATCAACATGTCACTGAGCTTCGTGTGCTCTCTGTTTGCAATTTCGCTCCGCGACACTTAAACAATCGCTAATTTACGGACGACAATTCGCACAGCTTCCGCCCACCACCCTAGCGAATCACGAACCAAAGCAACGGCGGATGGAGGCGGGTGGTGAATCGTTTTTATTTTCTCACCACCTGCTCACTTCCAGTGCTAGCAACGATTTGACTTTCTTCCATTCACTTTGGTCATATTTTCTCTCAATATTACATAAATTAGCAATCATTTTGCGGGCAAATTTTCTCGAGCACACTTTACCTTTGTAACGCTTTCGTCAGAATCAGTGTTCTATTTTCTCTCTGTTTTCGTCACTCTGCAAATGGCACTCAAAACGATCGAATCTTATCTCATATATCTCATCTACTAACGAATACTACCGAGCTCGGAAACTATTTTCACCAGTATTTTGGAGAAACAATTTTCTTTTGCCAGCACAATTAAAATATTATATAAAAATCCCGTGCGTATCTGGCTCGCGAGATACACACAGCAGTGTCGTGTCGGAGTGGAGTCGAGTTACTGGCAAACGGATTCCTTCGCGAACGACGATTTGGCTCTCGTTTATTTAAAGAACGTTAGATATTTTCCACAGAAACTCAGTGACGTCTGCGGAAAGGGAGGGGCTTCTTTACCGTCAACCAACACCTCTAGAAAATCTCTGACAGTTCTATTCTGTCACCCAGGTGACATCATCCGCTACAATCGTGAAAAATTGTCACCAGAATGTGATAATCAACTCAAACGACGCCACTGGAAGCGTGATCTGCTAAGTCGATCGTCGTCGTCATAGCGCGGCTGTATCTACTCCGGCCGAAAACTGTGTGTGATGTGTGTTCTCTCAGCTCTGTTGGCTCTGTTCGGCAGGCGAGTCATTGGACTATCCGACAACTTTACGCGAACCCTCGCGATGCGCGACACTCTCACGCGGCAGCGCTTGTTCTCGAGTAAGTGTGTCGACTAATAAACTGCCATCGGGAATAGAAACACGCTATTTCAAGACTACCCACATTGGAGTGGGATCTACTCATATCGCTCAAAAGTGAAGCGACTCAAAAACGAGTAAACTAAGTTGGGATTGACAAGTTGACAAATGAACATCATCGATCGGATTCATGTTGATGTTGTCCATTTGTCAAATTGTCAATACCAACTTAGTTTACTCATTTTGACCGAAATGAGCAAATCCTACTCAAATGTGGGTAGTTTTGCAATAGCGTGACATTCGTTTACCTCATTGCATTTTTTGTGTACCTATTCAGTGGTGTGTGCTGTCGAGATCAGAAATTGCATCCACCGGGTGGTGACTTCTTTTGCTCATTCTCATATGCTTGTTTGTTGTCACAGTGCGGTTGTGTGCTGTACGGGAAGAAGCTGTTTAGATAGCAAATTATAGGTATGACTAATCATGCGAAGACTCGGCGGCAGGGTTGAATTCAATGGTGTTGTTTTAAAACGCGGTGCGGTTGAGCGGCAACCTGAGAATTTCTAAATGTTTTCAGTTGTATTTTTTTGTAATTTTGAATTAACCAGAACCTTCAAGACGTGAACCAAATAATCCTCCAAGGTCGTAGTAAGTAGTCAGAACCTTGTTGGCCGCATCCGAGGAAGTGGTCACATTCTTCTTGAACCAACACCCTCACGCGACACATCAAACTTCATCAGAATTCAAAAATAAGATCATTAGTGGCCATATTAAGTACGCAGGATTACGATGGCCACATCCAGGCATGTTCCGGGTATCCCCATGGAAGTGGTTATATTCTTCTTGAACCTACAGCCTCATGCGACTCATCAAATTACATGAGAATTAAAAAAAATATGATGATTGGTGGCCATATTAAGTACCGAAGACCACGTTAGCCAGATCCGGACATGTTCCGGGTACCCCCGGGGAAGTGGCCACATTTTTCTTGAACCTACACCCTCATGTCACACATAAATAAGATCATTGGTGACCATATTAAGTACTCAGCACCACGTTGGCCATACATGTTCCGGGTGCTCCCGGGGAGTTTAATAAATTTTCCGAAACTTTCCTGAGGCCAATGGTACGAGATGAACTAGCTAAAGAACTCAAAATCTCGCTAATAAAGCTCTAAAAAAAAAGAAATGAGGCTCATGGAACTTCTCTGGAGTTCTCGGAACATCCCTGAAATTCTATTTAGAACTACTCTGAAGGTCTCCTCAGAACTACTTTGAAGATCTCCTCAGGCTTACTCTGAAACTCTCCACAGAAATACTCTTAAGTTCTACTCAGAACTACACACTTAGTTTATTTTACCGAAATCTCAACAGCTGAACGTTCGGTAAACAGTTCGGTGAGTTTTCACAGATTTCCTGTAATTTTTCACAGATATTCGGTCAAAAATTACAGGAAATCTGTGAAAAATCGCCGAACTGTTTACCGAACGTTCAGCTGTAGAGATTTCGATAAAATTTCACAGATTTCGGTAAAATAATCTAAGTGTGTACTTTGAACTTCTCCTCCGAACTGCTCTGAAGGTCTCCTCAGAATTACTTTAAACTTCTCCTCAGAATTACTTTGAGCTTCTCCTCAGAACTACTCTGAAATTCTCCTCAGAAATACTCTGAAGTTCTCCTCAGAACTAATCTGAAATTCTCCTAAGAATTACTCTGAAGTTCTCCTCAGAACTACTTTGAAAATCTCATAAGAACTACTTTGAACTTCTCATCAGAATTGCTCTGAAGGACCCCTCAGAATTACTTTGAACTTCTCATCAGAATTACTTTCAGATTCTCCTCAGAACTACTCTGAAGTTCTCCTCAGAACTACTTTGAAGTTCTCCTCAGAACTACTTTGAACTTCTCCTCGGAACTGCTCTGAAGGTCTCCTCAGAATTACTTTAAACTTCTCCTCAGAATTACTTTGAGCTTCTCCTCAGAACTACTCTGAAGTTCTCATCAGAACTACTCTAAAATTCTCCTCAGAATTACTCTGAAGTTTTCCTCAGAACTACTTTGAAAATCTCATCAGAACTACTTTGAACTTCTCCTCAGAATTATTTTGAGCTTCTCCTTAGAACTAGTCTGAAGTTCTCATCAGAACTACTCTGAAATTCTTCTCAGAATTACTCTGAAGTTTTCCTCAGAACTACTTTGAAAGTCTCATCATAACTACTTTGAACTTCTCCTCAGAACTGTTCTGAAGGACCCTTCAGAATTACTTTGAACTTCTCCACAGAATTACTTTGAGATTCTCGTCAGAACTACTCTGAAGTTCTCCTCAGAACTAAGTTCTCGTTAGAACTACTCGTTCTGAAATGTACAAAGTTGTTGGAATATTCTCTTGAAGATCTTTAAACTTGCCCGATAGTCGAGACATCCCTTAAGATATCTTTACTCTCCAGAAGTTCTTTGAACTTCTCAATAAATTAGAGTTCTCTGGACTTCCCTAAAACTCTAGGTAATTTTCTTAAGCTCTCACAGTTTTCCTGATAATCATAACTCTTCGTGAAGCTCTCGATATTTCTCCACGGTTCATGGTACTTCTTCAATTTTTTTAATGTAGTTAATGCAAATTGAGAGATGATCACTGAATTTCGGAGAATTTCAAAGCCCGTTGGATATTTTTACAAGGATTCAGATTGATTAATTATTCAGAAGACCTTCAACTATTTAATCAGATAATCCGTCACATATTTTTTCACTATGCCAGCTGAATCAGAAATTGTACAAGTATCTAGAAAAAAGTTTAAATTTCGTGTTTTACTAGCCTTTGTCAATTTTTTAAATGTATAACTTGCACATTTGTTTGAGTTTCCGAATCAGATTGAAGTTAGATTCATTATTTCAGAAAACTCGAAAAAATACAACAATAATTTTTTGCTTGATAATTACTGACTACGAAAATTTTCATGATGCTTGATTTTTGTTGAAGGACTGAGAATTATTATTTAGATTTTAAAATTTTAAAGTATTTTGTTCTTTAAATCCCATTTGTAACTTTGATTTTTTTTTCTCTTCCATGAAACTTCAATGACTCTTAAACTTTCCCAAGAATCTGAAAATTAGCTTGTTTTCCAACAGTTTGGAACTTCAAAGATTGATAATGTTGGCTAGAATTCTAAAGAAATTTTTTGCTCGAGAGATAATTTCAATGGGTTCTTAGGGAATTTTAAAGAGAACCCTTGCAACATTCCAAGAAGAATTTTAACAAAGTTCTGAGGAAAATTTCAAGAGTGTTCTGAGGAAGGTTTCAAGAAAATTATTAGCAAACTTCAATAGCAGGTCGGAGGTGAATTTCAAAAGGTTTCTGAAAAATGCTAATTGGTAAATCTGAAGAAATTACCAAAGGAATTGTAATGAATATAACAAGAGTATTTTATACATAGAATAAACTGAAGTGCAAGGTTTCATGAGAATACCAACAATACTGTAGAGTGAAATTCAAAAAACTTCAGCAGATGGTGAAATTTGAAGAGAACTACAATTTGAATCCAAATGGTTTCTAGTGTGTCAGAAATTTTTACTTGTGAATATATATTTTTTAAATCATCACACTTGGGTGGAAAACAAAATAAAATTGTTTTTCCGACTTTCGCATTTAACTTTATTCCAGGATGGCCTAAAAACAATCATAAGTGCCATTTTTTTATATCTAACAAGCTGAGTGTGCCCGGCCTTGCTCGGGATTCAATATTAGCTTTGTGCGCCAATTGAAAACAAAAAGCATGCTATATTGTATATAGTCCCCCCCCCCCCTTTGATCTAGAGGGTACCCCATATGACCTCCACATGCCAAATTTGGTTCCATTTTCTTGATTAGTTCTCGAGTTATGCATCTCGAGACAGACAGACAGACAGACAGACAGACAGACAGACAGACAGACAGATAGACAGACAGACAGACAGACAGACAGACATACAGACAGACAGACAGACAGACAGACAGACAGACAGACAGACAGACAGACAGACAGACAGACAGGGCTACAAATGGTGAGTTGACAACCTAGCTCTGGTTCTCACAAGTTCCTACCTCACGCCTCCCCGTGGTGTAGCCTGGGCAATGTTGTCCTTCTGACAATAGCAAAGTGAGGGGGTGCGACGCGAACACTGGCGCGGTAACCATAACACGGCGATAGAGGAAATGCTTCGTCAACCCGCAGGAGTGCCAACCGGCACATTAGGATCGACGCCAGTAAGATCCTTATTACGGCATACTGGATACGGCATGGAACTATGGACACGACACGGTACAATGGATTGGATACCACGCTACAGGGCTGACAGTCGTGCTATTCTGCTCCCTAAGTAAAGAAGGGTGACACCTTCTTGAAATGGCGAGTGGGCTAATAGTGCGGCTGCCCCCGTCCCGGTAAAACCTTGGCAGGCCTCCGGATACGTTCAAAACTCGTCACCAATTGGTGATTGGTGAGTAGTAGGCTCAGGTGTAACATTCCTGACTTACGCCGATCTGGCTCTGAACACGGCCCCCATGAAGGACCGTGTCAACCCTAGCATGGCCTCCCTGCTTGCATAGATAACCATGGGATCACGATAGGAGACT